CCTTGTCCTCTGGTAATGAAAGCTATTATATATGCTGAATATTATATTAACATGTGTAGTGTTTTTTAGCATGGCCTTGGTATTGAGCCAGACACTCTTCAGGTGAAATCATACATCATCCTCTCCACAGCCTTAGAAAAGTTACTGCTATTTCCCCCATGACTGAGACACAAAGAAGCAAGGTAGCTGGTCCCAGGTTACCTACCTAGAGGCCTTCTCCGGTGGCTCAGCGGGTAAAGAATCTGCCTTTAGTGCATTAGACGCAGGAGACACCAGTTCCATCCCTTGGTCAGGAGATCCCCTGGAGAAGGAAATGGCAATCCACTGCACTATTCTTGCCTGGGAAATCCCTTGGACAGAGGAAGTGGCAAGCTAGAGTCCATGGGGTCCCTAAAGAATCCAACTTGACTAAGAGACACACACACCTGTGCTGGGTTTTGAAATGGAGAGGTCTGACTATTGTAGGCAGTCTGCAGCCCTGATTTTTAAGAAGCAATGATGTCATTTGAGGCGGGGGGGGGGGGGGGGGTTCAAGGAGGGGTTGTTTTGCTTTCAAATTTTAAATCTGAGTCTAAATTTTAAAATCAGGAAATTTGGGGATTTCCTTGATGGTCCAGTAGTTAAGACTCTGCCTTCCAAAACAGTGGGCACAGTTCCATCCTTGGTTGGGAAACTAAGGCCCCACATGCTGTGGGGTGCAGCCAAAAATTAAGAAAATAAATAAGTAAAACCAGGAAACTTTATAAAAATTCAGACTCTGGGCATGTGCTAGAAAGTTTGAAGAACTTGCAAATTTTGGATCATGGTGGGTTCTAGCAGCCATCATCTGGAACCAAGTAGTAGGTGTCTCCTTTCGACTGGGAATATGCACTTCAATTTCCCACACTCCCAACATTCCTTTGTACCCCACCTCATTGCCAATGAGGATATGGTAGACAGTTGAGTGTGTAGTCCTCAACTAGATAATCTCCTGATGCTCAGTCATGTCCAACTCTTTGGGACCCCGTGGGCTATAGCCCTCCAGGCTTTTCTGTCCATGGGGATTCTCCAGGCAAGAATACAAGTGGGTTGCCATGCCCTCTTCCAGGGGGTCTTCCCAACCCAGGGATCAAACTTTTAAAAATTAACTCTATTTTGGCTGTTCTGAGCCTGCGTTGCTGCAGGGGCTCTTCTCTGGCAAGTGAGGGCTACTTAGTTGCCATATTTGGGTTTCTCTTGTTGCAGAGCATGGGTTCTAGAATACAGGCTCAAGAGCTGGGCTTAATTGCTTTGAGGATATGGTATCTTCTTGGACCAGGGATTGAACCCATGTCTCCTGCATTGACAGGTGTATTCTTTACCACTAACAAATCAGGGATGCCCTACAGCTTCTATCTTAGAGAATTTTAAAGTGTTCTATAATTTTTCTTCCACCTGTAGAGATTCTATTTCAATATTAATCCCTTTAAAAGATAGGATTTTTCACCTTTATCCATTATACTAACAAAGATTGTGTATAAAAAAGTTGACCTCGATGCTAGTAAGGATGCAATAAAATGAGCCCCCTCATCTGGTGGTGCAATTTGGATATACTTCCAGGGATGGAATTTATCAGTATGTTAATTTATTTAACAGAAGCTATAAAATACACACATCTCTTTGCCCAAAGTAATTCCACTTCTGGGAAGCAATTTATCCTAAGGAAATCTGAAGTGAGTAAGATTTTTTCCACTGAGATATTTATCACCAACTTTGGACTTTGAAGTTATGTTTATTGTGAAGCTGCTTAAAATACAATGTTAAATAAATAGGAATGGTACAAAACTGCATATATGTATATATATATAATCTCAAGTAAAATACAGAGGGAAAACACATAAGATAATTTATTAAAATTACCCCCTGGAGATTTGTTATTGGCAATTTTAACTGCCTTCTTTATACATTACTATAATTTAAATTTCCTGTAAAGAACATGATTTTGTCTTATTCAGGGAAAAGAAATATTAAATAAAAATAAACAGTATTGTAATCAGAAAAATAGTAATGTTTTATCTGTCACAGTGGGCTTCCCTGGTGGCTCAGTGGTAAAGAATCAGCCTGCCAATGCAGGAGATAAGGGTTTGATTCCTGGGTCAGGAGGATCCCCTGGAGAAAGAAGTGGCAACCCACTCCAGTATTCTTGCCTGGGAAATCCCATAGACAGAGGAGCCTGATGGTCTATAGTCCATGGGGTCACAAAAGCATTGGACACAACTTAAGGACTAAAACAACAATAATCTATTACTGTGCCTCATTCGTAATAGTTACATTACAAATGTTTGAGAAAAATCTAAAGATAGGAATAAAGCAGGGAGGGAGGAAGGAAGGAAGGTCACACTATTTCACAAAATGAATTAAGGGATAGTGTTTCCCCTGTCATTTGCTTAGTTGATGGTACATATAGAAACTGGAATGCCATTCTAAATTGCTTTATTAAGTAATGCTGCATTTGAGTATTTCCCAACTGTCATAAGTGGCAAAACAGTAATACCTTTCTCACTGGATGAGTAATAGGGAGATTTTTTTTCCTGTTCCACAACATCAGTGATAAGTCTGTTCAGAGATGTTGGATGAGCACAAAGTGTTGGTGTGTAAGACGAAGAGGCAACTTCTTGCCTCTGATTGGCCTTCACCTGGCGGCTTGCCAACTCTCCTTGGGGCACCCAAAAGTCCACGAATTTGGAGCAGTCTTTGTTCTCCCCATCAGTCAACCTCCTAATAGAATCTTATTTGCTGGAACTGACAACACTTGCATCTTGGAAATAAAGCTATGGGACAAACCTAGACAGTGTATTAAAAAGAGAGAGACATCACTTTGTCCACAAAGGTCTGTATGGTCAAAGCTATGGTTTTTTCCAGTAGTCATGTAAGGATGTGAGAACTGGACAGTAAAAAAAAAAAACACTGTGCCCAAATTGATGCTTTCAAAGTGTGGTGCTGGAGAAGACTTTGGAGAGTCCCTTGGACAGCAAGGAGATCAGTCAATCCTAAAGGAGATCAACCCTGAATATTCACTGGAAGGACTGATGCTAAAGCTGAAGCGACAATACTTTGGCCATCTGATGCAAAGAGCCGACTCATTGGAAAAGACCCTGATGCTGGGAAAGATTGAAGGCAAAAGGAAAAAGAGGCAGCAGAGGATGAGATGGTTAGATAGTGTCACCGACTCAATGACATGAATTTGAGTAAAAATCAGGGAGATAGTGAAGGACAGAGGAGCCTGGCATGGTGCAGTCCATGGGTTCTCAAAGGGTTGGCCACAACTTAGAGTCTGAACAGCAACAATAGTGCAAAGAGAAAGTGGGCAGGGTTGAGTTTGCATTGATTAAGAAACTGAAATTGCATTTGTGCATTCCCCAAATTGTTTGGTGTGTGCACATAAAATGATGGTCCTTGGAATGCTTCCCTGGAGGCTCAGATGATAAAGAAACTGCCTGTAGTGCAAGAGACCTGGATTTGATCCCTGGGAGGGGAAGATTGCCTGGAGCAGAGAATGGCAACCCACTCCAGTATTCTTGAGTGGAGAATTCCATGGACAGAGGAGTTCTCTGTCCGTGAAGAGTCGGTCATGACTGAGCAACTTTCGCTTTCTTTACTGGGGGTCCTTCCTGAGACCAGATGAACTGGAATTCTAGTTCTTTGTTTCACAGATTTAATATTTCCTGACTCTGGATCATCTTTAAAATCAAGGGGGAAAAGTGAATGAAAATGACCAACTCATTCTACTGGAAGAAAAACTCATCTCATAGATTGTGTATTTAAAATCATGTACTTTAGAAATTATAATATTCTTAAAAACATTTGTTCTTAAAATTCTGGGGTTTGCTGTTGTTTATCCTAATGGTTCTCAAAATATGGAAGTGACCCTTGAAATCTTTTCAGACAGTCAAAACTATTCAGTCTGTTCAGCAAGGTCAAAACTATTTTCATGAAAACATAAATCCATGATTTGACATTTTTGTCCTCAATCTCTCATGAGTTTGTAGTGAAGTTTTCCAAAGCTGCATGGATGATGTCTCCACAGCTAGAGTGCAGACACAGGTGTGAGAATCCAGTCATGTCCTATGAAGCCAGATGCTGAAAGAGATTTGTAATAATACAAAATAAGGCCAGTTTTCTTACTAATTTGCATTATATTTGGTGAAAATACCATTATATTGTAATGAAAGTGAGTTGTTTGGTTTAACATGAAATCCGTTTATTATTTTTATTACATTGATAAATATTTTAAATGGCTCTGTATTATTTTCTAGTATAGTAAAAAATGGATAGATGTAACTCACATAAATAAAAGCTCTCTCAAGTCCTCAGTAATTTTGAAGGTTGTTTTAAGACAGTATAGATGTACACTTAAAACTAACACAACATTGTAAATCAACTATACTTCAATAAAAAAAGAAGAAGTTTGTATAGATTCCTGAGGCTGAAAAGTTTGCAAACCAATGATCTGTGACATTAAGGAGTTATTAATACTAAGGGGCTTGTTATTATCTGAATAGGGGCTTCCCAGGTGGCTCAGTGGTAAAGAATCTGCCTATTGATGCATGAGACACAGGAGACACAGATTCGATTCCTAGGTCAGGAAGATCCCCTGGACTAGGAAATGGCAAGCCACTCCAGTATTCTTGCCTGGAAAATTTCATGGACAGAGGAGCCTGGCAGGCTACAGTCTATGGGGTCACAAAGAGTTGGCAAGACTGAGAACACACACTACCACCCAAGCTCTGAATAATCTATTTTCCCCTCAAACTTCATTGAGGGAATATATCATAACTATGGCAACTAGCCTGTGACAGTAAACGCAGGAAACAGTTGCTTCAAAAATGGAAACTGCCGGCACATTTGGCTTTTTCCACTCCTGAGATTTATTTTGGCGCTGTCTTCCTGTTAGTTACTTAGGCTTCAGAGAATTCTGTGCCCATTATGTTCTCATCGCCAGTATACTGGATACTCAATGAGGTTTCAGAATTCCTGGAAACTTGTCCTCTCCTACAAACTGCCCTGAGTCTCATCCTTCTGAGCCTAATTTTTCCTGCAGAACATGGGAATGATGGCCATGTTACAAAGGTAGTTGTGAAGCTCTTAATGCAGTTATGAAACTGATAAATATGAAAATATTTTGGAAATACAATGAGCTTTATAGATAGAAGGCTTACTACTATTTAACATTTTGACATCCAGACATTTGATGAAAATGTAAATTCTCTCTTCAACTGGTATTATTTCATCTCTTGGATTTAGGTACATAAGATGGTGATAAATGTGGATAAATAGAAGTAGTGTTTGGAATGACAGACTTTTTTCTAAAGACCTTTGTTTGCAGGCTGGCTTACAGACAGACACAAGGGATGTGTTTGGAGGGACAGACAGGTAGAGGGAGAGCAGGAGAGAGGTGGTATTAATAGAAAAGCATCTGACCTCCTGCCCTTACTGTATCCCCCTGCCCTTACAACAGATCCTGTTACAGTTGCATCTCTCCTGGGTCTGCTTCATGTAATAGAAATCCTTCTGTGGTAAGCTTTGACTATTATTTAACAGCTATTCAGTAGGTTCAAGCAGAAAAGCACACAAGATAGCATTGTATTAGTTATTTAAATTTAAAATGTCTTTGGGCAATGGAAGAAGAATATCTTCTGTTTTTGGAAAAATGTGCCCAACTGAAGTTTTGGTTGGAGAGAATAAAACCTTCCTAAAATACAACTCTTAAATGTAATCTATTGCTGTGTGAGCAAAGACATGACCTTTTCCAAGGACAAATGGTAAAAATAGCAGATCTCTAAATATACTTGTGCAGCTGGGCTTAAACTTAAGTCTCATAATGTAGATACATGCTAATGTCTTTGTCTGCTCTGGCTGCTGCAACAAAAGGCCACAGACCGGGGGGCTTAAACTACAGAATTTTTCTCATATTTCTGTACGCTAGCAAGTCCCTATCAAGGTGCTGGCCAACTCGGTTTCTGGTGAGAGCTGTCTTCCTGTCTTGCAAAGACCAACCTTCTCTCTGTGTCCTCACATGGAGGCCCAGGGGAGAAACAGATCTCTCTCTCTCTTCCTCTTATTATGAGGCCACCAATTCTATAGGATTAGCACTCCACCCTTACGACTTTATTTAATCTTGAAAAGAAAGTGAAAGTGTTACTCAGTTCTGTCCAACTCTTTGAGATCCCATGGGTTATAGCCCACCAGCTTCCTCTGACCATGGAATTCTCCAGGCAAGAATACTAGGGTGGGTAGCCATTCCCTTCTCCAGGGGATCTTCCCGACCCAGGGATTGAACCCAGGTCTCCTGTGTTTACCATCTGAGCCATCGGAAAGCCCTTATTTAACCTTTAGTTCAGTTCAGTTGCTCAGTCGTGTCTGACTCTTTGCGACCCCATGGACTGCAGCACGCCAGGCCTCCCTGTCCATCACCAACTCCCGGAGTTTACCCAAACTCATGTCATTTAACCTTAATCACTCCCTAAAAGTCTTGTCTTTAAATATAGTCACTTTGAGTCACATTTGGGGGTACCCACCTGAACTGAACTGAACTGAATTCAGTCCCTAGCAACATATTTGCCATTTGAAGTAGGTATTCGATACAAAATAGACCTTGAATGAAACCACATGGTTTCATACAAGCCTCTTAGGAACTACAGAATTCTTCTACCCCAGGCCACAAAATACTCATGACTTTCGTTGTTATGCACTTACTTATTCAGTTTCCCTGAATAAATGTCAAACTTTGTCATCATAGGTCACTCTGTCATAATGCGTTATGTTTTCAAATTCAAATAAATACAGAGTCTGCCCTCCAAAAAGAGAAGGGGGAAATTCTAAGAGGTTATTGTTATTCCCTGTCTTTGACGTAATCATTTTTTTTTAAATCAGAAAGATTTTGTTATCATTTTTTGAGGTGGAAAATAAGGTATATTTTCCTGAAAAAGCAGAATTTTCGCGTTTGAGAATCAGAAGTTACCACAGATGTCATCTAGCCCAACTTCCTTACTTCACAGAGGAGGAAACAGATCTTGAAAGTGCAATGACTTGTCAAGGTCACTGTCGGCTGTACCACAGTTTAATCTTGAATCTGTTCCACTACAGCCAGGAAACATGGTTAGCTCACCACTCACTAGTATTAGGTTTTACTTTTACTGATTGTACATTACTTTCCCAGGCAGGATATTAATTGGTTGGTTCTCTTAACCCTGTGAAGCTAAAAGGCTGTATGTGAGGCCAAAAGGTGAAGGATTGTGTTTCTAGAAGGGGTACACAGAAAGGAGTGGAGACGAGAAGACAGCAAATCTGCAAAATGCATGACAGTAAGGGTCAGAGATAAAGTGGAACTCAAGTGCCATATAGACGCAGATGGATGTCTGTTCTGCACGATGAAAGATAAATGAATTTGTGAAATTGGATGTGAAGTGGCAAGATAGTCGAGGACAAAACATGGATGCTTTTAGTCGGACAAATTGTACATCAAAAGCCAGTTGGTTAAAGGACTTCCGTGATGGTCCAGTGTTTAAGACTGTGCTTCCACTGCAAGGAGTTGAAGGTTTGATCCCTGACTGGGGAAACTAGGATCCTACATGCTGTGTGGTAGCATGACCAAAAATTACAAATAAATCAATCAAAAAACAGTTGATTTATGTAAGCCTCGGTTTATTGATGGGTAAATACAATAAAATTCTTATGAAGACTAAATAAAACCATATTTAGTCTCTTCCTGTGTAAGGCAGGAAGGGATGGAAGGCGGTTTTAGTCTGGACTACAAAAAGAATGGTGCTGTTGTTAGCCTAACAATAAAATAGCCATTTATTTATTTATTACCACAAATGGATCTATTTGGGAACAGCAAAGGAGAGGAAGCTGTACTTTTATAGAGGCGACTAGGACATTGGGAAAGCCTGTTGTAAAAAATAAGTCCTTTGGAGGAAATTGGGAGTTCAAAGTCTAGTAGGTTTTCATTGGCTGAGTTGTGGCAGTCTCTCATTAGTGGAGCTGTTACTAGGTAAGAAGAAAATCTTCCTTCCTCCTGTTGGTGGTGGTGAAGTAGTGTTACTTCCTGCCAGAGGTGCAAGGTTTGTGTTGGAGTCTGTGTTGATGGCAAGTGGTTAATGTGTGAGGGCTCCCCCTGCTGGGCCCCACATCTACTTTTCACACTATTTTTGCTAGGAAAAAAAAAAATCAAGCAATTATATAGGCTATGTGAGATGGTGATATGTTGGCGATGCACTCAGAGCAGCTAAGTGGAAATGCCTAGCAATCCAGAGACTTTAACCTTAAGGTATAGATTTGGAGATTATTTGCTGAATGGTGATCAGAAAATGAATGAAAGCCTAAAGGCTTAATGGGACAGGCCTGAGCATCATGGATGTCCATGTTTGCTGGGCTGAAGAAGGAAGAGGAGCTAGAAAAGAGAGCCAATAAGAGGCAATCTTAGAAGAGAGCCAGGTATAACTGAGTGTGGGAAATGTTAATTGTAAAACCGCTGACTTTTCCTGGCCCATTTGCTTACATCCTCTCACTTTATCCACACAACTCAACAAAGTAGGTCAGATTATCACCTTTATTTTCCTGGTGAGAAAATGGAGTGATGCAACCATGATGAAAGCTGGCATTCTGAACCACAGGGAGCAGAGGATCTCATTAACGGTGGTGGACAGGGTCAAATGCTGCGGGGATGGCAAGAAGAACAAAATCTGAAGGGAGGCAATTGGATTTCCCTGTTTACAAGTCACTGGTCGTAAAGAGTATGCTTTCAGAAGAGGGGTAGCACATCAACCAGGTTATAGGGAAGTGAAAAGAAAGTGTTGGGAAAGAAATGGAAAGCCAACTGTGCACCAGTTACCCGAAAGAAAGGCAAGGACTAGACTGGTAATCAGGGAGTAGTCAGAGTCTAGCCCTGATAGCTTCTTCCTCCAGTCAGGGAAGCAGAGGGAAAGACCGGGTAGCAAAAGGCAGAAAGAAGACTGTGCAATATGAAAAGAGGTAAGGACGACAGCTTCATTTCTTCTTGGGCTTCCCAGGTGGTGCTACTGGTAAAGGATCTGCCTGCCAGAAGACTCAGGAGATGTGGGTTCGATCCCTGACTCAGGAGATCCCCTGGGGAGAGCAGCAACCCACTCCAATATTCCTGCCTGGAGAATCCCATGGACAGAAGAGCCTGGAGGGCTACAGTCCATGGGGTTGCAAAGAGTTGGACATGACTGAAGCAACTTAGCATGCATGCAGTGAAGACTGCAAGATCTTAAAGGATGGAATCAATAATACAAGGAGAGAGGAACTATCTTACCAAATAAAATAATTCAATGGAAATCTGCCTCACAGTAATTACTGACCCCAATTTTAGGTTTCAAGGTGGGATCTTGAAGGAGGTAAGGTTTGAGTGCAAGGCTCTCGGTTCAGCATTTTCCTCTGATCTTGGATCATTAGAACCATGAACACAGGCCATGTCTGCCAAAAGCAAGGTCATTTATGGCAACGATTAAGAGAGAAAGGGCTTTGGAGTCAGACAGACCTGGGTTTAAATCTTAGTACTGCCACTTTGCAGCTGTGTGACCTTTGAGCCAGTGAATTAACTTCTCTGAATGTTAGTTTGCTGCTGCTACTGCTGCTAAGTCGCTTCAGTCATGTCCGACTCTGTGCGACCCCATAGAACACTGGAATGGGTGTTAGTTTACTTGTCTATAAAACAGGGATAATAATTTACTTCAAAGGAAGTTTATAACTATGCACTGAGCTATTATAGTAAGTGCTTAGCACAGTGATCAGCACCCTGTGGGCACTCAAAAACTAGTCACCATTACAGTTAGTGGTGAAAAACAAGTCCCTGGTTGGCAGGTCAGTCAGATGGGCAGAGTCAGATGAAGAGACTTTTCTGAGCCATCCTGCAAGTTCTTTAGGCGCAAAATGGGATCAAACCAGTCAATCCTAAAGGAAATCAACCCTGAATATTCATTGGAAGGACTGATGCTGAAGTGGAAGCTCCAATACTTTGGCCACCTTGTGCGAAGAGCCACCTCATTGGAAAAATTGAGGGCAGGAGGAGAAGGGGATGATAGAGGATGAGATGGTTGGATGGTATCATTGACTCAATGGACAGGAGTTCGAGCAAACTCCAAGGAGATAGTAGGGACAGAGAAGCCTGGCGTGTGGCAGTCCATGGGGGTCACAAAGAGATATAACTAAGAAACTGAACAACAACAACGAAAGTGTGTATATGGGGTAGGGGTAGGGGGCAGGGGGTGCAGAGTCTGTCTATGTACTTACAGGCTATTTAGTATGCAAATAGCCAAGCTTACTTTTCTGGAAAATGATGTGTTCTACTTGGAAGCATTTGGATACTCTTTTAGCCTTGACAAAAGTGAAAGTGAAATTATTCAGTTGCAATCCCTTGGACTGTAGCCTAGCAGGCTCCTCTGTCCATGGAATTTTCCAGGCGAGAGTACTGGAGCAGGTTGCCATTTCCTTCTCCAGGGTATCTTTCTGACCCAAGGATTGAACCCATTTCTCCCGCATCGCAGACAGATGT